ATCCATTACTGCATTAATGTTGGTTCGCTCTAGGAGCAGTAAAACAACATTTGACTGTATTCTTTGCCATTTACAACCAACCTTTTTTTTTGCAATTTGTGGCTGTAACATTATAGGATGTACGTTCTGCATGTTTAAATATTAACAATATGATCCAAGTGATTAGTATTACTGTATTACCTTGAGATTTAGATTTCTAAGCCAGTGCAATTCTCAATTTTCTAATGATAATAATCACTACATTTAAGCTACGACCCTTTGCCTTAATTTACTACTGCAAGAACAACTCAGTCACTTACCATACATTAGTATCAGTAACTATGTCTTCTATTTTTTAAACATGACTTCATGGTGTCTTATTCCGGATTTGAGAGTAGAGAATTATTTTTTTTTTACTTTTACAGATCCATATTACTAACAAATCTTAGTAAGATTTAGACTTAACAGTTTAGTTCCACATCACATGGAAAGAGTAAAAATGATCAATATCATCCATTATTATAACGGAAGGGTTCTTTTCTTCAGTTTCATTGTTGACATCCAATCAAGTTTCTTGGGGGCAGTGTCCTTGTTCTATTTGACAGCTGAAACACACATTTAAGGACTTTATGCTACTTAGATTGACACCATCCAACTTAATCACACCCAAATGTGGTGTGTAGAGGACTAAAACATGCGAAACCATTCATAGTCCTTTGTGTATCCCAGCCGAGTGTTCTGAGCAGATTAAAGCTACAGTGCTTCAGCATTAGGAAAGTCCACAAATGTTGTCCTTTAATGCCACTTCTGACACTGCAGCCTTCAGGGTCCCCTCCCCAGAGTGGTTCCCTTTTGCCTCTGATGCTTCAGCGGTTTCCCCAGTGAATGTAGATACTTGCCAACCGATCCAGCTACTCTCATGGCCATCTGCCCATGCGAAGAAGTCACTTTCAAATGTCAGCGTATCACGCTGTGACACGGACATTTGAGAAATGGAGGGAAACACCCCTACTGAGTATCGCTCAGGTTTCTGTCAGCTTGTTGCCCATCAAAGTCCAACACTTTGCTGCTGCCGCCCCCCAAAAAAATCTGTCGTCCCGCAATGAGCACTTCTGTTAAGACATGAAACCAACCACAGAGAGCAGCAAGAAGCAGGATGCATTCTGCCTCCTTTTAAGATATTTATCTTTGTAAGTATGAGGAACACTTGGAGTTGTCCAATAATGAAGAGTACATCAATATGTTGTTGAGGCAAGGACATCCTTTTCCCAGAGGTAGCACTTATCCTTGAGTTGTTTTTTCAGTCCTTTGGTTGTACTTAAAAAAATTGATCTGTTGTTGTGACAACACAGCAATGTTTGGTTGGTCTGCTCAATTTAGCATCAGATTAGAATCCGCCTCACCTTCTATTTACTAAATGTGTTTGGGTGGGAGTGTGACAAAGAAACCCAACCAGCTAAAATAACTTCAATGTAAAATAACATTTTTGTTTTTCATTATGGTGGAAAGATCCCAGATTGCTACTTACTGCGACGCTGTGATTCTTAAGTTAGATCACAGGGGAACAAACCTAGAGACCGAACAGAGACGCCGAAGTTAAATTACCTCGATGAGCTTGTTGGCGTGCTCACGGAACACCTGTGCGTATTCCTTGACTTCCTTCTCGTTGCCATTCTTTGCAGCTTCGATCAGGACCAAGAGGGGCACATTGGTCTCCAGGAAAGAGTCGGAGACATGGTCCATGACAGCTTTACGCAGCTGTGAAGGAAGACATTTAAAAAAAGGAAACAAGGCACAGTTAGAATAATATATCCCCATCACCATAAATTCAAAAATAAATTCATAGACACAAACAAGTAAAGCAACGCAACCGCTGTACGCGGCCATAAATAACAATGAGCAAATGACTTCTGATTGCCGTTGGCTGAATATTTTCCAAAGATGAGTGATTGTTTGACCACTTGTTCACAGAGTGCCGTCTTTGCCACGGCAATATATATTGTCGGGTAACCTCTGTGTTGTGCTGTCAGCATTTGTTGCCCAATGCTAAAGCAACAGTAGATCACGTCGCCAAGGAAACAAGAGGGTGGCAGGTTGTTGGCAACGAAGAAATGTCATTTGCTTTTTGTTTTTTAAAATAATGATTCAGTGAGCCACATGACAGCGCGATTAAGATGAAAAAAATAAAAACCTGTCTGCGAAGGTCTCTGGTCTTCTTGGTCATCCGGTCAATGGCGGTGTTCAGAGCGTCGCTCCGATCCTTCCTCCCAGCCTGAAACAAACAATGAGACCGGTTAGTGAGAAGCAAATACTTTAAATGCTCATGGAATTGTGAGAACATAAAACTGTTTAAAGAATGTTTCAAGTTGTGTGCATTTCCTTCTTCTGCAATCTGAGCAATTTTGTAGGTTCTTGCAATTGCAAAGGGCAACAGTTTGCTGTGAGGCAAAGGGAAGTTGTATACATTTCATTAGTAACAAGTTCCAGCAAGAGCTCAAAATGGACCTCCAGATTACAGTGCAGCTAGTGTTTTGCAGATACCAATCCTGATCCATTTGTGATCCTTTTAGTCATCGTAAACCGTTGCGCCAAGTCAGCTGTCAAAAGGGCCCAGGCGCCCTATGTTGAAACTCCGGGATGTATTTTCCTGAGCGATCGCATTACAACACGCAAACACAAAAGGCACAGCTGCTTTGGGTTATAAAAAGCCGATTTGCATCTATATCAGTGCTATAATTCATGGACACCACACCCATTTAATTGCTGTTTTTGTAAACTGCATTTAAATTGGAATTTGTATTCCTGGAGGGATCAAAGAAAGCCAAATACTGTTCAAGCCTTGCTGTCAACACAGACCTCTACATGAAAATTGAAGAGAACACTGCACGATTCATTACAGGGAGCCAACAGCCAACCTGTGATGCAGGCTCTAGTTTATTAATGAGATAGATACGGGCTTCCTTTATTCCAATTCATTCTTATTCCTGGTTCGTCCTGGCGTTCTCTCAAATTAATCCACCGTTGCCAGGAAGATATTTGTATAGCTCAATATCACTGACACGTTCTTAATGTAATTAATGGGCCAACATCAGTAACAATTGTTGAACATAGAGGTTCTTCCATTTGTTTGGTTTGTCCAACAGTGGTTAAGATCATTATCTGAGATATTCATATCCGCACAGATATTTTTAAAATATGTGGCCCTCGTTATGTGTATGGAGCGTCAATATAAAACAGCATTTCCCTGGATGACGAGTGGTGGCCGCTAATGGAGCCCAGTTCCTCTGAAAAAAAGTTTGTAAAACATAAGCTGCCAGATTTAATCAGCCAAAACAATTAGTCTGTCAACATCTAGTAGAAAGACTACTAGTCCTTTCTTTGTTTTTAAGTAAAAAGCAGCATCACGGCTAATCACAAGCACTAATAATGTAAAGCAACTCTGAAACTACATCTATAATTGCTTCCCCACAGGATCATCTTTCTTAACACTGTTGGCAGCGGTCACACAGTTTAACGTTATGCAGCAGTCAAAGGACCAACTACTGCCCCCCCTGCTGAGAGCCGAGACATGCTCAGTTCCACACTGCAAACTGCTCCAGCGAAGCATGGAAAATCCAAAAGTTTAAAATATACAAAAAATAAAATAAAATGCTAAGATCAACTGCGACACACCACCATTGACCTGCCCCTTCCCCCACTGCTCTTTGCCCATCAGGGGGTTGTGCATGTAGTTGGGGGCCGGCAGCTTCTACTAATCCCCTGCGATTTTGTGCTGCTTGGATGCAGTGCTGTGGTCGGGGGTTTAGTCCGCTCTGCCCCTAGTCCCTTATTCCTGTTTTATTCACGCCAAGCCTACATTTCATTTCCATGCTAGAGGGTTCTAAAGCACTTCAGGTGCTTATTATGGAATCAGTTTGTCTGCAGCAGCTTTTATGTTCCTCAAGTGGGTCTTAATCCATGTCCTTTAGGACAGATTTAGCATTTAACATCCCTTTCCTACAGAATCACTGGGTTGTGGGAGAATTAAATGCAAACAAAGTGGCAAATGATCAGAGGTCAGTGCCTTCTATGCCCATTCAGCGCGTTGACTTATGCAAGCTACAAGAAATGATAATGACAGCAATGTGCTGGTCAAGGGACTTGGAAAGGCACTGTCGGAAGAACTGAGATTATGAAATGAAATGTATAAAACATGGACGGGCGGAGGGCTTAAGCGACCTGTGGATGTGTTTCAATGAAAAGATGCTTGAGTGGAAACGGGTGTTTAAGTACCACGCTAAAGACGTCAGTGCCTCGCAGTCTCTTGCATCTCGTCTTTGGCTGCGTCTCATCCAGGTCATTGAAGTTACCCTCACACCCATTTCCACTTACAATAAATGAGGAAAAGTTAGCATTTTCAAATACGTAATTCTGTCAAGCACTCTCAACGCCTTTTAACTAAACTATAACTATAAACATTGTCTATTGCATGTTAAAAGCCAGCTTGATTTAGCTACAGAGCAGCTGGCCATAGGTCACCTGCAAGCACGGTGCTCAGGATATGTAAATTATGACAATTCTGTTAGCGTTGCAATTGGTCTAATGGCAATAGCATAATGAATACCCGTACAGAGTTGAGGGAACGCAGCATGTCTTTACTCCCCGTGGTCGTAGTCATGTTTATGTTGTCTGGAGCCACAAGTTACCAACTACAGTGAGTTTTTTGCGTATTTCACACATTTCATGAGAGTCTCTGGCACGCATTCATACAAAGCGCATACTGGAGGCGAAGCGGAGATTTACAGCGGTGTTTAATTTCAACAGCAAGCTGCCGCAACACGTTCAAGATATCAATATTCTGATGGTGACGAGCCAGTGAGAAGGAAGTGGGGATGCGAGAGAAGGGTGGAGGACGACAGGTGCACGGCCAGTGCGAATGAGGTAGAGAGCAAGCGACTGAGCAAGAGAGTGAGAGGGTGTTTGCGAGAGAGAGAGAAACAGTAGTGATGATCGACGCCAGGCTGCCACCACTCTGTAGCAGTGAGTGGCTGCAACAGAAAAGCACAGAATAACATCCCCGACTCCCTGCTCTGCTTTTTTTTTTTCCCTCCCTCCCTGCGTCTCAGCTAGCAGACGAGGGCTTCGCTCACAGCTCTGCAGAGGCTATGCCGAGACGGAGTCGGCACAGGGAGCAGGATCTCTGGCTGCCATCAACAAGTTAGGGTCGGGAGAGCGCGGACATGAGAGGGAGATGCTTGATCGTCAATTAACCATCTGAGCTGACATCATTGCGGTGGAAGGGAAACAAAAGGGTAAAAAAAAGAAAAGGAAAAAAAAGAGGAGCAAGGAGTGGGGCGGAGGGAGGGGGGTTATGTTCACCGGAGTCGCTCTGGACGCAACTGATCAACTTGAAAAAAAGAGAAAGAATTATATAAATATTTATTCAAGGTTCCCGAGGATGAAGGAAAAGATTCAACCCTTTCTCTGAGCTTGGATTTTCGGAAGGAGTCGCCGGAATAATATCATCTCGGGACATGGAATTTCATATTTTGTTTCAATTGTGTGGGCTCAGAATTGCTTTTTTTCCAAAGAGGCCGATTCCTTTTGTGCTTACTCAAAGGTTTTTTTTTCCTTTGGATTTTTCTTCCATCTGGTTGCTCCAAGAGTCTGCGGAAAAGGACAGTTGAATGCAGCCTCCGATGTGCACAAAAGAATGGGTAAGTTAGTCCCTTTATACCGTCGTCTGGACATGAATAGGGAATTCAAGTAAGAGGGAGGCTAAGGACTAAAAGCTCTTCAGCCTCATCTCTTTACCGCAACTGCCCCATTTTCTTCTTCACGACACACTAGTTGGGAATATAGCAATATAACATTAAATTGTAACGCAGTACTCAAGTGATTTTTAGAAATAAAAAAAATCTAGGAATTCAAAAAGGACATCTGCACATTCTAGCTGACAAAACAGGGGCAAAAATATGCGCAATAGATGACAAAGCAGCAGGAATCTATGTATTGGTGACTAATCGCAAAGTGTCAACAAAATAACGTGTATATAAATAGCAATGATGTCAAAACAAAGTCCAGCTCACGTATGCAACCGATCAATAAATGCTAAACTAACATCTTCATTTAAAGCGGAGTCCAAATAAATCATGCTTAGGAGCAACCATGAAAGTTGTCAACATTAAAAAAAAAAAAAAAAAAAATCTATTGCGCTGTGCACGGTAGAGAAAGAGCACAGTAGAAAAAGCACAATAGTCATCATGAATTAGTAATAAGTGCTCTGCAGAGATAAGCTTTCCCGCCCCACAGTTCATTCTGTTATCTTTGAACCCACCCAGGTTTCCATTCAAGGTGGCCATTGGTGGGACCTGCACCAGCGGCTCTGTGTCTGAGTGTGATCAGCATGCTCCTAGTGTGCCTGCTGCCTCCTGCATCGTGCACGACCTGCCCGCAAAAATGCCGCTGTGAAGACCTGCAGTTCTACTGCGACACCCAGGGGCTTCAGGCGCCCCCGGATGCTGTAGACAAGGGGGCCCTGGGGTTGTCACTACGTCACAACACCATCACCGAGCTCAGCCCCGATCAGTTCTACGGCTTCAGCCAGCTCACCTGGCTCCATCTAGACCACAACCAGATTACAGCAGTGCAAGAGGACGCCTTTCAAGGGCTCTACAAGCTGAAGGACCTCAACCTGAGCTCCAACCGCATCACCAAGTTGCCCAACACATCCTTCATCCACCTCATCAACCTCCAGATACTCGACCTGTCCTTCAATCAGATGACTGCATTGGAACCAGAACTGTTTCACGGACTGAGAAAGCTCCAGATACTCCACCTCCGCTCCAATTTGCTCCGCACCACACCTGTTCGCGCGTTCTGGGACTGCCGCAGCCTGGAGTATTTGGGCCTGAGCAGCAACCGCCTGCGCAGCCTGGCCCGGAATGGATTTGCTGGGCTCATTAAGCTTAAAGAGCTCCACTTGGAGCACAATCAGCTGACCAAGATCAACTTGGCCCACTTCCCTCGCCTTGTTGCCCTCCAGTTTCTCTATCTGCAGTGGAATAAAATCAGCAACTTGACGTGTGGCATGGAGTGGACCTGGACCACTTTAGAGAAGCTGGACCTCACAGGGAATGAAATCCGGGTCCTGACATCTGACGTGTTTCAAACGCTGCCAAATTTAAAGATTTTGCTGCTGGATAACAATAAACTAAGCAGTCTGTACCCCCAAGTCATGGATATGTGGCAGTCACTGGGAACCATCGGGCTGTCCAGCAACTATTGGGAATGTACCAAAAGGATTTGCTCTCTTGCCACTTGGCTAAGCACCTTTAAGGGAAGGTGGGAACATTCCATTCTCTGCCACAGTCCCGACTATGCCCAAGGGGAGGAGATACTGGATGCTGTGTACGGATTCCAGCTTTGCCAAAATTTCTCAGCGCCGGTTGTTCAGACCACTAGCACAACCACAGACGCTACTATCGCTGCAGAGACCACAAGCTCCTTGTTTGGAATTATGCAGCAGACCCCCACGCTGGACTATGCAGAGGATTTTGGGAGCTTTACCATAGTCACGACCACTACCACGACGACAACAACAACAACAACACGTCGCACTGCTCAAGCGACCACCGCTACATTGGAAGAGGAAGCTGTGACAGAGGACTCCTCCGCGATGGACAACACTGTAATGACTCAGAGGGTTATCATAGGAACTATGGCCCTTCTATTTTCATTCTTTTTCATAATTTTCGTTGTATATATCTCACGGAAGTGCTGCCCTCCCACCCTGCGCCGGATACGCCACTGTTCGGCTATTCAGAACCGCCGACAGATGAGGACCCAGCAGCGGCAGCCTATGGCAGATCTAGCGACCCAGGTACCCTATAACGAGTACGAGCCCAGCCACGAGGAGGGGGCGCTCGTGATCATAAACGGCTATGGGCAGTGCAAGTGTCAGCAACTGCCTTACAAAGAGTGTGAAGTATGAACTCTTATTTATTCCTAGAGCATATGGTTTGCCATTTGACCATTTCAGATACAGGGTTTGCTTTTTTTTTGGTTTTTCCAGTTTATGTAAAAAGCATAATTTCTACAAGTGAGATTTGACAAATGCGAACGAATGAGACAATGACAGAGGTCTGACCTGACAGTTTAGGGAGGTGGTAGAGGTCAAATTTATTTTTCTATGAATGAAAGGTTGTTCACATCAAGCCGGGGCAATCATTTTAAAACAAGAAAATTGTGAACTGTGAGATTTGTCTCCACATTGTATCTTCAATTATTCTGCAGCACAGAGAAAATATAAAAGGTTCCTCTGCTAACAGAATACATTAAGTGGAGGAATGTGATTTATGGCTTATTTCTTTTAAAAGTATTTGAAATCATGTTTTTAACTGCACCACAAGCACTGTAAACCATGTACTCAATCACTGGGGAAAATTAATTGGACCAATTACTAGAATGTCTTTATTTTACAGTTTGCCAAAAAGGAGTCCTGAAATTATATTCAGACTAAGCACATTTTAACACATTTTCAAAATTCAAGCATTAGTAGATCTAGGCAAGCCTATAATCTGCCATCAGATTAAAGGCTTCCGGGTTTCCTGCTAAAAACAATTAATGTTGGTGGCCCACCCCAACAGCCAAAAAGAGAAAATTCATGTGTGTAAATGCAACTACTGCATTTACACACATGAATTGAATAGAGTGCCAGGATGGAGAATTAATATTCAATTATATTTATTGGAAACATAACATCTTATTTAAAGAGGTCTGCTCGTAAACGAAACCATGTTTTGAGGCTTGTTGGCCCTCCTTCCCACGACGGACAACCACCACAAATAAATTCTAAATACACTGATTTCGTCCTCATCCTGGACATCCTGATTTGACCTTTACATCTACAACGATTTGTAGATGATTCTCTACTCACCCCCCCAACTGCCACAAACACTGTGCCAATAATATTAACAGCTTAACCTCGAAAGAACAGTCTGCTGACTTGCTATTATACTAGGATCTATATACAGACAGGCTAGTGTGAGGGTAGCAAGTTAAAGGGTAATGACCAGCGCAAACGCCAGATAGGAGAGCATTTTATTTTTAAAATAAAACCATTCCCCAGTAGCCATGGCTCTTTACTACTTACATGCTAATCGGGATTGACAGGCTCAAGATTGAACCAATTAAGGCAAGGCAAAAATAATCTAATGTTCTGTCACCCACACCAGTGGTCCAGCAACATTAAGCTTGTTCAGCCACTCAAATAGTCATAGTGCAATCATCCATCGCACTACATAAAAACCTCATTGAACCTTTTACTTTAGGACATTTTTCTCGTTAGGGATACCAGGTTGTCATTTACTCTACTCAAAATGGGATTACTTTGAATAATGCATAATGTAACAGTTACTTGGTTCGCAGTCACAAGCGTCAAATTAAATTGCGGTCAATAGCCTGAGAGCAAATGGAGATCCAGTGATAAGCAAACAGCAAGCCACGGTCAGGACACATTGGTATGCAAAGGGGAGGATGTGCATTAGCATCAGACCGAAGCTGCTGCTGCAGCTCCGCACATCTGTGTTCAGTTTGGTGGTGGGGGCAGGGTGAAAGAGGGACGGAGAGGAATTGATGGAACAATGGAGAGGGGCAACGACGGGGCAATGTCTTGGATTATTAGCGAAGGTGGCTGAGAATGAAACGATACGTAGTGACTGAAAGCACCGGGGGCTCGAAAGGCAAACCGATCACACAGCAACGTCAACCACCAAATGTTCCAGCAGGAGAACAAGACCCAGTACAATTAAAAAGAAAAAAAGGGCACTTTCTTGATTGCTTTTCCCAGGAAATTAAAATTTGGATTTTTTTTCCTTCATGAACATGTCAAATCTGGATATGTGACCAAATCAGTGCTTACGACAGCTGGATGCTGATAGAGCAGCAGGAAACGAGTCATCCGGCTCGGAGCAGCGAGGCGCCGCTCGTAGGCGGATGCTCCCGCGAGGTAGCAGGGAGGTGCCATTTGTGGCTTTGTCTGAAAATTTGGTTTCAATGTTCTAAAAATAAATTATTGGGTCAATGTCTCTGTGCACATGATCATAAGACGCCTACAACAACAAATGTCTAAGAAAGTGTCTAATAAAGTGCTACGCTTCACATTTGAGTACAACGGAACACATTGCGTACTCCGATAGTAGTGATTTCCAGTCAAACTACTCCACTGGGTTTCCAATTTTGTTTTCTTCCAGCTTAGCACTGCTTTTACTACTGCCCTTCTAATCCGTCTTGCATGTTCAGAAGTCAATTGAGTTACAGATTTCTTAATGTCATTCAGCAAACGTTATGAACAGACCTCTTTTTTGATAACACCAAGAATAGGGATCTATATGGAATTCCTATAAAGCTCTGTTAATCATTTGGCCAAGTGACTGAAAAATCACAATTTGTAGAAATATGCATCCCTTTGCACTCTGGCTCTTTGTAAACCGTTTTTGTTTCCTCTCGTCACCCTCGAGCCCTGGTCCCCAACCTGCCTAAAAAATAAAAAAAAAAAAGAAGAAAAAAAAGAAAAGTGAACTAATTCCCTATTACCCAACCTCTTTGTGCAAAATGAATGCTTTTTCTCTTTCCATTTTTCTTTTGTATTGTAATATGTACAATTTCATATCTGTATAGTGGATAAGATGTGCCAAACTGAAAAAAAAAAAAAAACATTTCCCCCCTCAAAACATATATTTTTTAAATAAAATGGTTATAATTTAAAGAATGTTTGCCAGCTGGTGGATACTCACAACTTGGTTTGGTCTTTCATTACAGTATGGTATAAAGAATAAATTGAAAGCAAACCTAACCCGTAGAGACGTTGATATATGCATCAGTATGTTGGGTTTGTGCGATCCAATCCCCTTAATGCAGCTCGACATGATGACCAGATCACTTACTTTACAACTCAACGAGGTAAAAGTTCACCGCATTAGCGTTTTAGTGTTTTAACAGTCGAACGTGGGCAATGAACGGGTGGTTATGCAGAAGACTAGGTTATGCCTACTGGAGAAAGTGGTCCAAGAGGATTCAACAGACTCAACCATTGTTGTTCTTAAAGTATTAAATACTTTCCCAACAATCTGTTTAATTGATTAATAGTTTAGTCTACAGTGTCAAAGAGGGACAAATGCACATCACAAGTTTAAAAAAAAAAACCAAAAGGTAATGAGTTACAATTGCTAGTTTTGTTCAAACATCAAATTTACTGAATTTATGAAAACAAAAGCATTGAACCCACACATGATAGATTATACTGTCAATTAACTTAATATCCATATTAGCACTAGTTCAATAGTTAACCATATAGCCATTTGACATCTTGGATACAGCCGTCAAATATCTTGTCTCTTCGCGTTTTGGATAATTTATCTTCCTACATCAATATCAAGACTGTTTTGAACTAACTCGATGTCAGATCTTGTACGTTGATAAAGATGAAAAATAATCTGTTGAATCTGAAGTGTGAATTGACTCATTTCTGGTAGAGCGGCCTTTCCTTCTGCAGAGCCTTGATTAGCAAGAGCGCATTTTAGATCCTTAATTACAAACAGTTTTCAGTCTCTTCTCCATGGATACAACCTTGTAGGTCCCTTCTCCAGATACCAACCAGCCCCCCCCCCAAAAAAACTTTATTCTGTGCCCCATAGCAGCGCTCAACATAATGGGTAGGATTTGTATTGTGACATTTAAGATAATACTGTTAAATGGACCATGATGCTGTGACTTTTGCAAGCGAGAGGTCTGAATAGGACAATAAACTCATAACAAAAAGAAAATCCACGCAATTTCTTGGATTATTCCTGCAGCTAAATAGTTTGTAAAAATTATTTCAACCTTTTCAATCTTGATCAAATATTTCAAAATAAACTTTCAAGTTGCTATATTTTCTAATTGCGCAGCAATGTCAATACTAAATCGTTTAAGAGAATTAAAAAAAAAAGTCTACTTTAGGATTTTGGGGAGGCAGTTTCAGGTTGAGAGATTATATATATATATATATATATAATCTCAAGCAGCTTGAGGTTTCTAAATTAGATGCAAACACTAATATAGGAAGACATGGCTATTAATCCTACCTGCCCTTTTCTGATGAGGCCTACAGAAAGCAGGCTTCAGTAATTCGCCTGCAGCGTGTATGCAGCTGGGGGAGGCGGCAACACCGAAGTCTTGACTACATGGCATCGGCAGTCTGCAGGGTTCAAGGCTTACGAGCGCATGAATGCGTCACATACGCTGTATGAGGCCTCCAATGAATCTACAAAATGCTTAGGGCACACATATTGATCTGGACTCGCATCAGCAATACTCCCCTAATATTTTAATTGCTTATCTTTTAATGTGCTAACTTTTAAATTCAGTGCATATCCATCGCCTGCATGCAGCTCTCAACGGGATGTGGGCTGAGACAACGTCATGAATGCCAACAGAAATACTAGCGTGAACCTGGTGGTAGGGGAGAGGCACCATTTACATTTAGCTAATTCTTCTCCAAGAATAGATGCTACTGGTACAATGAGGCATTGCTGGTAAAGTTAAATAGTTGATTCAACAAAAGCAACAAGAACCCATTTCAACAAGAGATATTTGAGCAATGACAAAAAGATCCACTACACTGGATGGCAGCGAGTACTTTACAGCAGGGAGGGCTACGCTGGTTCTAATAACTGTAGAGGAAGGCTAATGGCTGCAACATTGGGGGCTTCAAAGAAGCAAGAGAATTTTCCATTTCTTCGTCATCTCATACCCCAGCAGGAAAGCTCCTGGTAAGGAAAGCAGTCAAAATTATTTTTAATTGTGGTTTTATGTCAGAAACCCACAAGAAAGCACGGGTGAATGAGGATGTATGGGGAAAATTACCAATCCAGCGTTTGAATATCAAAATCAAATTCTGAAATTGACACATTTCACTGTGATATTTCGAAGTTAACTATTTGATCAAGGAGCTCAATTTAATTATTCAGGGTCACCTGTTGTGTTCTGAATATCTCAATGAAAAATACTTAACTTCTGTTCATCTTTTATGTAGAAGAGGCCATCTTCATGCTTTGCTTTCAGTATAAAATTAATCATTCCTTGTGTCAAGGGAAGGAAATAAGACAGAAAATAAATCTAAACTAGGCTTAGTCCTTGGGTCAGGAAGACTTGTAGCATTTATTCACCATCAAGAAGACTGGAATTAACATGCTCTCCTGGGCTCTCCTTCAGGTGCTGCAGTTCAAATACATGCAGGTCAGGTGAAGTGGAGACACGCGCTTCCCCTCGGCATGAACATGTTTGTAAGGGTGTGTGCTCGCCCTGTGAAGTGGGGAAGTGTCCACAGTGTACACTGTAGCTCTGAACGAGCGCCTTGACAGGATGTCGGCTCCTGAACAGGAGCTAGTTATGGCTGGATGGACAGGGTTGCAAGTCACTTTATTTGTTTTACATGGGTTGATTTCATTGTTAAACAAATAAAATCTCCACGCTCTGTCATTTAGTTCAACATATAATTTACCATATATATATATATATATATGAGTTTAGACCAGGTCCTGCATTCAAGGTAAGCAGCATATGTGACGAAAAAATAAAGCTGAGCAAATTTACCATTTACCCAAATGGGTTTTTCAGGTGTTAGATACATTGAGTTTGCTTCTTATTCAGAGATGTCCCTCACAGCTCCATTCACTTCAATTCAGTCCACATGACTTTCAAACCAATGTGATTATCTGACTAAGATAGTCACTCTGTCTCAGGTAAAAATGGATTTCTGCAAAGGAAAGTAGCTAGCAGCAGTAAAATTCTGAAAAAAAAAAAATAGGGTTTTCAAATAAAGTGTAGTATAGCTGTACACTAAAACCAATTTGTACAGCCCTGATGCTACTGAAATGCTAACAGGTCTGCACATTCATGTCAAAATGCAAATGCATGTAAACGATTGGGCAAGATGTCCTATGCCCCGTGTCAATGGGGTTTATTGTGCGGTTGACATTCATTGGGTCATAATACATTATTGGATCTCGGATTTCCTTTCTAGCTAGATTACATTATACAATTTCAGTTGAGAATAAAGTTTGTTCTTTGAATCAGCAAAAGTTAAGTAATGTCAATGTAGTAGACGTACGGTCACACCGGTGTTGAGCCGTAACAACTAGTTTCTCACAGCAGTCAGCGCTACTCGTCTTAAAATAGGGTGATATACCGGGATACAGTCCTACAAAATACCACGATATGAGGTTTTTGGCCATACAACCCAGCCATATCTCAATGGAGTCTTAATAGATGTAGAACAGCTTGGAGGATCCCAGGCAGAGAGGCGCTATATCAGAGTTGACAAGTTTTTTTTGAGTTGAAAAAATAATAATTTTGTTCGAAATGATTCCATGGACTTGTTGAATGTAATTGGGCATTAATTTAATTAAAATTCTTGTTTCCTAAAATATATTCAATGTGGTAGCAAAACCTGAGAAAAGGCTATTTAAAGGGTTTTCTTTTAACTACTAAAATACTCCTCACTTCTTCAGAGTAATGAAAGTCCAATCCGTGCGAGATGAACGAGACGGCTCGGCAGCAACAGATCTGCAGCGTGTGCACAAAAGGAATACGCAGGGTAATAAGTTCTCCCAGGGGACCAAGAACAGCTTTTTAGGATGGTAGGCAAATTGTATACTTGAATTTAGTGATGCAGCAATAAAAGGGTGACAAAATATTCAGACATGCACACAATTGAATGTCATTGTAAAGAAATACACATGCATTAATTTGTTGAGGAAAAAGTTGCCATAATTGCCAATAAAACCGTGGCAAACGCTATGAGAACAGAAAACCCGTTTAGCAGGTTATGTTAATTTACAAATAATTCACAAAATGGAAAATGGAGGGGTGGGGGTGGATTCTGTTGTAGGATCATCAAGTACCCACACAACATTCTTTATTGTTTAACGGCAGGCTCTGGGGGCATCTTCTCTGCCCGACAGAAAAGCCAATCAAAAGCTTGGAATTCAACAGATCAAGGGGCTAGGCCTGGGAAACGGTGCCTGAAAGGCGGTTACTGACAGTGTTTTATGGAGGCTGTAAATTTACGAAAAGCCTTAGGGACACTAAATCTTTTTTTCTTGTTATATTTTGTCGAGAGTAGTACACTTTAATTATGCATTTAGATGAGATTACATCTAGATAAATTGAACTGCTTTCATGTTGCTCTTGAACATTCTTTCAAAAGAAGTTAAAAAAAAAATAAACATATCTAACATCCCGCTAGTGTCGTAGTGTCATTAGATTCCTAACCCTGAATAGAAAACTTAGGAATGGTTTCGTATGCATGTTTAATAGCAGGATCGGGTAGATGATCATCCCGAACCTAAAATGTGGTAAAGATGAGCGGCAGCCCCCGAAGAAAAGGGCAAAAGCTTGTCTGACGCTCACTGTGGATGCCGAAAGCCAAAAGAGTTGGAGGAATGAGGGAGCTGTCAAGAGGGAACGGCACTCTTAACGGGAGGGAAAACAGGATTGAGAAAGAAAAGTGAGAGAGATGTTTGGGTGCTCAGAGTAAGGACTACATTAAGCCGCGCAGACAGAGGGCTGCTGAGGGAGAAACGTACCGGTCCCACTGCCAGTCCTCTTCGATGCAGCACCAACGAATATTGTGTAACTTCAAGTCGAGGGAATTTAAAATGTCAGTCGCTCTATATGTCAAAGCAACCCAGAATCACTAGTTTGCGTGACATAAAACCCTGGCAGATTAATAAAAAAGTGCCAGAAATGGTTACACCATGCTGAATGTGTCATGTATCATGACAATATAAAATAATTGAGGGAACTTTATGCGGCAGTGCTGGGGCTTCACACATGTGGATGTTTACATTACAAATTGACACCCTTCAGCAGTCAACACAATGAAGTGCAATTCTTGGCCACCTGCAACGTGACTTTTGGCCAACTCATGTTTTTGAATCCAAAAATGCAGATTTTTATGTATTTGAGGGTCGCTGAATGCTCATGTGGATTGATATTGATTTTGTGAAGAACCAAAAAGGTTGGCTCTCAAAACTAAGGGTTAAAATGTCTCATGAATATCCGTGAAAAGAGCACTTTGAAAAACAACAATTTTTCAAGCTGAAATTGAATTGCAAATTGTTTTTTGTAGACCAAGCTTTCCACATTTTTAATCCAAATCTGAATACGTAGCCTTCCCCTAGATGACTGTTTAACATCCCAAATAAATGTTAATTGAGTTCATTCAATTGAATACTATTTAGTAAGGGGGGTGAATACAACATGTAGATGAAGGGCCTGAAGAAGCAGAAGGGAGAAAGAATACGTTGAGATGCCAACATCAGCTGTGAGAGTAAACCCATATGTTGTAAAAGGCGACATACGGTTTAATAACTTCCAAGTTTGTCATTTGCAATTGTTTTTTTTATCCGATAAATCGCTGGATTTATCAATCAAATTTAATGCTATGAAAAAGGTCTT